CCCTGCGGCTGTCCCCCCCCCGCCGCTGTGCTGCCCCAGCTGCCAGGGGCGTGTGTTGTTCATGGGTGGATGTGGGAGGTGGGGCATCTGCCCCCCTGACTTGTGCACCCACAGCAGGCACAGGGCTGCATCCTGGCTGGATCAGCATGGGCAGAAGTCATGTCTGTGGCCCAGTGGGCAGGACCAAGTGCAGGAGGGCAGAATGGGGCAGTGAGACTCATTGCTGTTGCTGCTGGGACCCCTGTGCCAGCTGCAATGGCAGTAGCATGAGCAGTAACAGATGGTGGGGGGAGGAGCGTGCTGTCCTCACCTTCTCCCACCACCAGCCGCTCATGCGCTGGGCCCTAGGTTTACCCCTCCACCATGGCCTGGCCGCCATTCCCCCAGGCCACTCACGCTGCCTGCCACTCCACCTTCTGTCCCAAGTAGAGCCACAGCCTGAGGGGAATCGCGGTAGTGTCTGGGCCGTGGCAGCAGCGTATAGCCATGGCCTGGTGCACAAGCAGCTGGGGGAGATGGGAGAAGGTGAGGCAGGAGGCCCCCCCCCTCTTCTCATCCATTAGTCTTTGCGCTGCTGGCCACACAGCTGGTGCAGGGGTCCTAGCAGTGGCAGCAATGAGTCTCGTCACACTGCTCTGCCCTCCTGTGCCAGGTCCTGCCTGCTGGGCCATGGAGGTGGCTCTTGCCCGTGCTGGTCTTGCTGGGCTGCAGCCCCATGGCCACAGTGGGTTCACAAATCTGGGGAGGGGGGGCACATGCCCCCCCATGCCCACCAATGCATCGCTTGTGGCCCCGTACCCCTGCCCATGTTGCCTGTGCCTCTCCCTGTGCCGTAGACTTACGTGTGGGGAGCTGTGCCTCTTTCTGTGCCGTAGACTTACGTGTGGGGAGCTGTGGGAGTGACTCTTCACACTGCCTGATTGCCACATGTATGTGTGTGTGTGTACACATGCACATGGTGCCTCCTGCCTGATTGCCCTTCTCTTGCTCTCCCAACCCCAAGCAGCCCCTTTCAGGCTTGAAATCTGCCAGCCTGTGAGGAGCGCACGTTTTTTCTCCTTTAAAGGATAAAATCAGTTATTTTCTCCCTTAAGGAAGAAAATACATGTTTTTCTGCGGTAAATGGAAAACCCAGATCCCTGTTTATTAGGATGCCCAGTATTAACACGTGGTGAAGCACAAGAAGCATCTGTTTTTTCAAAAATGTATGCAAAACATGATCTATTTTTAAAGTTTGTTTGCGACCCTTTTATATATTCTTGTGATCCACTTTTGGGTCGCAGCCTACACAGGTTGAGAAATGCTGCTGTAGAGAGCCCGGGCTGCCAGATACGTAAATGACCTAGAAAGTCTGAATTGGCCCTGGAATGGAACATGCTGAACTGGTTCCCTGGGGATGGTGCACGCAGAGTCTGATAAATTTGTAAAACCTATGGAGAGATGATTCCAGTGTAGATGGAATCATCAGAGAATTTAGCTGCTAAGTTCTAACCAAGAAAAAGATCTTGGAATCACTGTTGACTCCAGGATGAACATGAGTTGCCAATGTGATAAAGCAGTTGGCAAAGCCAATCGCACCTTGTCGTGCATCCGTAGGTGCTTCACAAACAGGTGCAGGGAAGCGATTCTCCCCCTCTATGCACCGCTGGTCAGACCACAGCTGGAGTACTGTGTCCAGTTCTGGATGCCGCAGTTCAAGCGGGATGCGGACAACCTGAAGAGGGTCCGAAGAAGAGCCACTTACCTGAGGCCTGCAGGGAATGCCCTACGAGGAAAGGCTAAGAGACCTTAACCTCTTCAGCCTCTCCAAGAGAAGGCTGAGAGGGGACCTTGTGGTGGTGTACAAATTCATAAGGGGAGAGCAACATGAAGCAGGCAATGATCTGTTCACCAGGGCACCCCCTGGAACGTCAAGGAGCAATGGCCATAAGCTACTAGAGAGAAGGTTCAGGCTGGACATAAGGAAAAAGTTCTTCACAGTCAGGGTTGCCAGAATCTGGAATGGGCTTCCAAGGGAGGTGGTGCTCGCCCCATCCTTGGGGGTCTTCAAGCCAGATGGGGGCCTTCAAGAAGAGACTGGACAGGCACCGGGCTGAGATCACATGACCCCAGGGTTGGTGTTTCTTTTCTTGCCTGCCAGGAGCAGGTGGTTGGACGAATCTAAACCGCATGTGTCGTCTGAGACTGTTGAGGCCTACAACTGGACCAATTGTGGACACACCCCTGCACAAGAATAACATCATGCCAAATTGCAAACCTTTGCCTTAAAGCAGGGGTTGACAGCGTTTTTGGCCAGAGTGCCAAAAATACCCCAACCCCAGCCCACGCATTGACTTGGTTTGCCAGGCGCAGACTGGGGGAGAACTGCAAGGGGCACACTCCTTGCTGTTGGAAGTGGCTGCATGTGTGCCTCCAGATGGATGGTAGGGGAGTGGCTGGGGTCATGTTGCCCTGGCCTCTTCCCTGCCCTGTGCTCCAAGGCATGCATACAGTTGCCGCTGGCATGGATGGTGTCCCAGAGCCCGGTGTAGCTGTCTGCAGCCTGCCTGCTGTCTGGTCTAAGATATAGTGCAGGCTGGCTGCAAACAGCTGCATCGGGTTCCAGAGCCCTGGCTGGGCTCCATGGTGGTTGTGTGCATGTGCACATCTGGGTGCATAGGGGGGAGGGGTCTAGGAGAGTGCAACCCTGGCCTTTCCCCTGCCATCCGCCTGGAGGCATGCATGCACCTGCCACCTCCACAGAACCCAGCCAAGGGCTCTGGAGCCCAGTGCAGCTGTTTGCAGCCTCCTGGTTGCCTGCCACAGCTGGCCTGGTCTCTGGGCAGCTGCAGCTAGCAGGCTGAGCAGCTGCACTGGGTTCTGGAGCCCTGGCACCGGTTCCATGGTGGTGGTGGCTGTACACATGCCTCTGGGCAGATGATGTGGGAGAAGCCAGGGTTGCACTGCCCCAGGC